ATAAGCGTAGCGTAAAGCTTAATTTTGCTTTGGGCTACAACTCAATGTCATAAAAATTCTGAATTAAATTATTTTGCTGTTATATCATCGCAGTTATCAAAAATATAAAAAAAAGAAATAAACAAACTTTTCTAACAAATCTGCATGAATATTGACCATTTAACATAAACACATAGTTGGTCTAAGAACAACCAGGTGATAGTTTTGTTGATAAGCGACGATGTATATTGTTGAGAATTACCAAAAACGGAGTGTGAAAGCGTTCTCAACAGAGTGACAAAAGGAATAAGCCCTTTATAGTTAGTGATAATGACAATTTGCAAAAAGCTATAAATTGGGGTCTGCTTGCATCTTTCATATCTGATCTTCCATGTTCTAGTTTCTTTAGGGATTTTCTTTTGCCTTATCTTATTTTCTCTACTTTTGTATCACACACACACTGTTAGAGTCTGTTAACGTATCCTTTTTAGGTATTTACTTTTCTTGTTCCCATGGTTTTTATTGCTACTTATATTATGCCGCTTTTTGTTTATAACTTTTTAATTCTCCTTTCCGATCTCTTTTTGGACTCACCTTGCTACCCTCTATTCGCTTTTTATTTTTTTTACTATATCTATTTGCATCTTTACACATTGTTTTTACTCGCAAATATTTGAGGCTTTTTTGATACTTTTAGCTCACCGCTAAATATACGAGATTATGCCGAGACTAATATTACCTGATTTTAGGATTCAAACTACATAAAATATATTTTATTATGCATGTACATAAAAATAAGAAACACCTGAATCAAATCAAACATTTGTAAAATAATTGAAAGCTATAATAACTAGTCAACAGCGTATTACCTAACAGTGTATAAAACAGCAAGTAAGCAGAAAGCAAGGTGTTACATCAAAAAATGTGATTTTCTTGTCACAGAAATAGGCCCCCCAGTGGCACAGCGGTATGTCTGCGGACTTACAACGCTAGAAACCGGGTTTCGATACCCGTGGTGGGCAGAGCACAGATAGCCCTTGTGTAGCTTTGTGCATAATTAAAAACAAAAAACAAACACAGAAATATTTATAATCAAGCCGTACCCCGCATTTGTCTACGGATTTTGGTATTCGAAACCTGAACAATACCTTACAGGACACGTGGGCTAAATGGCCAGGTTATAGACCTCGTGATTGAGGCATAATTATTTCTAATTTAGAACCTGACCACAGGAAAAGCAAACAGTTAGAATCATGTGACTGAATGTAAGTTTTTTAAAATGTGCCCACGGCCGAAAATGTGGAGCGTGTTCAGTGGCATACCGCGGGCTCAAATTTTGGACTTTTGGGTCAGTAGCCTAGTACGCCAGCCTCTAGGCCTCACCCGTTTCTCCTTATCTATAAATATAAACAGGTGAAGTAGCACGTCTTCAAACGTAGCAATATACTGAGGATATATATTTTAAAAACTCTAAATTTGAAATATTAAACTATATTACCATGTAGCTCCACACTATTTATGGAAAACATTCAGAAATACATGGGTGATAAACGAACTCCTGGTAGTTAATATTAAAACACTGATGGTGTTTAGAGAGTGGAGGGCAGTATCACTGGGATGAAA